TCATAGCAGTGACCCTATTGTTGTAGTACCAAAATTTTTCTTAGTTGTTTTCCTTGTTCAAGCAAAATACGGGACACCCTCAACTTTAAACAGAGGTTTATTTGGGCCCACAGTTTATAGAACAGTTTATAGGACAGTTTTCAGTCCATAGTCAGCTGGTTTCAAGGCACAGTGGTATGGTGGAAGAGTCTGGGCAAAGGAAAGCTGCTCATCTCATGGTGGAAGCAGAGAGAAGGGAGGAGCCTGGGTGGAAGATGGCCTTCCAAGATTATCTCCTGTGACACATCACTTCCACCCTGCCTGATAGAAACTTAGCCACTATAAGCGTTCATAATCTAGTCACCCTTCAAAAGCCCCACGTGAGCAGAGGAGACTTTAAGGAGAATATCTAGATGTAAAACAATCGTAAGTGATTTTCACTGTAGTCCATGCCATATTATAGTATGTTTACCTGCCTCCCTTCAAGTTGTGGGCTCCTCTAGAATAGAGGAAGCATTTTGGGTAGGAGTAATGTCTGTAAATCTAGTTCTCGTGGTAATTTTCATGTAATGTAAGAGGTGCAATGGAGCTAAGTTGCATTACCATGTAGAACTGGGGAGGTTTTTTCAAGTCCTGTAAAGAAATTCTTTGAAAGCCAGAGTGTTAGGTACTGTGGGAAAGCTGCCACAGAGGAAAGTGCTTTTTAGTCTAAAAGCTATAGAACTTCTTTTTTTACATATCTGAGTAGAGAGTTAATGTGTCAAGGTGTTATTTTCTGTTTGTAAATAGTAAGTGAACTTTTTCAAACTTGAAATATAAAATTGCTGAATTTTTTGTTTATACTGAATTATCTAGACTTTTTTTAGATTCTAAAAACAGATAATAAAGGGTGAACACAATTCTGAATCTTTGATTTTCTTCACTTACCAGGCATAGAACGTTCATTGACTACATGTATTAAATACAATGTCAAACACAAAAATGAAAGAAAAAGACAACAGCCATAGAGATATCATAGCATAGATTGAGTCAACCGCATGGAGGAAAAAACTATAGTACAATAAATAATAAGTGATACAGAAGGGCTATTATAAGGTTAGCAGCCCCCCCCCCCCACTTTCTGGCCACTCTCCACCCAGTTTGAGCTTAATGTGTAGCAATTCAAACATTTTATTACTGATTTTAGTTACATTATTTATTGAGTCATATAATGTCAATAATTGTTTAAATGCTAAAAGAATACTATAATCTTTTTATCTTCAGTAAAGTTTTTATCTTTTAGAATATAAAATTGGAATGCCTATGTAAGAGTATTTTGACAATTAAAAAAAAAATCTTTACAATTACCAGAAAGCCTGCCTGCTTGATTTAGAGTTTTTGTGATTATTAGGCTAGGGAATTAAAGTGCTTGACAAATTGCAATATGCTGCTTACATTTTTTTAAAGAATCAAACTCCTGAAAACTGCTATGTAATATTCTTGGCAGGTTTGGAGTATAATCAGTTCTTACTTCTCTGCAGCCTTCTCTCAGTAATGTACTAGTTATCAAAGTAAGTGATAGGGTATTTTTGACTACAAAGTAACAAAATGGCTTAAACCATAAGGAACGCATTATTTTACAAGATGAGCTCAGTGCCACAGATTTGCAGGGATTGTTAGCAGTTTACCATCTTCACTGAGGACATAACCCATTTACTTTTAAAGCTCTACATGCCAGGAGAGGGCTGCCAAACCATCAGATGGACGAAGACTGAGAAATCCTTTTTTTTAAGGAAAGAAAACTTTTTTTTCAAGTCTCATAGCAGTCTTTTTCATAGGTTTCATTGTATTCTCTGTGGCTCTTTCATACTAGAAAAAGACTAGATGAGTAACCTTCTAAATACTAAAACAACTTAACAATATTTTATTTGATACTCTGAACAAAGGTCACAGATTACTGATGAGATTATAAACAGTGGAAAGTGTAGTGTCTGATTTTATATTGTACTTTTCCTTACCTTTGCGTAGCTGTCCCCTAATGTAGTCATACTCTTCATTTAAATATTTTCTTTGCCTAGTTTACCATAACCAGAATTTCACTTTGCTCTGGAAGGATAGTGTCTCTAACCCTTTGAAGTAAAGGAGGGCTGTTCATTTTACTTAGCAATAGCAAATATTTTAGGCATTGCAGGTCATATCGTTTTTTGCAGTGATTCTTTGTCATTGTAGTGTGAAATAGCTATTATAGCCAGTTGATAAAATAAATGAGAATCACTGTTACAATAAAAGTTAAATTATAAACACAGGTGGTGGAGATATATAGATAGGTAACTGGCTTCTACCCAGAAAACTTTATATATTCCTTATAAAGTCTTACATCAACAATAAAAAGATAACTTGGTATCAGTGGCACATTGACAGTACCTTAGCATCATTAGTCATCGGGGAAATGGATATCAAAACCACAGTGATAGACCACTTCACACCTAATGTGGGTCTGTAATAAAAAAGATCTTTTAGCAGAGAAGTGAAGAAATCAGAGCCCTCATACGTTGCTGGTGGGAATGTAAAAAAAGTTGTTTAGAAAACATTTCATTAAATGTTAGACATAAAAATCCAACATTACAGGTACATACATCAAAAATAAATGAAGTGTGAAATGAAGCAAACAACTTGAGTGTTCACAATAGCATTTTCAGAGTGTGCAAAAGATGGAACAGCCCAAATGTTTATTGACTGATGAGTGGATAGATAAAATGTGTTGTAGTCATAATGAAATAGTCTATAAAAATATTCTGTAAAATGTTCTACAAGGAGTAAAAAAAATGTACTGATTCTTGCAACAAACATGAATTAACCTTGAAATTATTCTGAGTAAAAGAAGTAAATTGCAAAGGACCACATATTGTATAATTCCATTTATGTTCAATATATCCAGAATAAGCAAGTATATAGAGTGAAGGAAGTAGATTAGTGGTTACCTACCGCTGGCTTGAGGGGGTTGGTGGATTGCTTTTTGTAGGTGATGAAAACACTCTAAATTTTGATTGTAGGATGGTTGTACAATCCTGTGAGTGTACTAAAACCATTGAGTTGTATAATTTAGATAGAGGATTGTATGCTGTATGAATTATATATCAATAAAGTTGTAATAAAAACAAACAAGTAGTAGGCCTGATTTGGCCCGGGGCCATAGTTCCCTGACTCAGTGGACCATTCTTTCACAGAGTAATTTCCTTCTATCAGACTACACCTTTATTCTCTCCAGTGTTTTTATTGTGTACATCTCTAGTTATTTTACTTTCTCATTCAAAATTTACTTGTACATTTACCTTCTAGGTTCAGCTATCACTTGAGATTTAAGGCTGTTCAAAATTTGAGTATTTGCTGCCCTCCTTTAACTAACTTGTACTGTCCCTTTTCCTCTTTCTCTCCCTTCCCTTCTCTTCCCGCCCCTCCCCATTACAAGTGTGCATTATCACGACTACCCAAACTATTTTTTTGCCTTCTGTTACTATGATCTCTTAACATCACTCAAACTCCCACTACTAAAACTTTATTTCTTCTGTTTTGAGATTATTTTTTTCAGTTGTAATTATTGAAAATGCCATGCTTACAGAGTTTTTTTTTTGTTTTGAGGACAATTATATGTGTTTTTAAAATTAAATATAGTGCGGGATGTGGCAGTGCATGCCTGTAATTCCAGCACTGGGGAGACTGAGGCAGGAGGATTGCTGTGAGTTTGAGACCAGCCTGAGATTCGTAGTGAGCTCAAGGTTATAGCCTAAAGTATGTAATGAGACCCTGTCTGGGAAAAAAGAAAACGCAAAAACAAATTTAAATGTAGTACCAAAGTAACATTTTATCCTACAAGTTGTTGTTGGACATGTTCCATGTGAAAATATTTTGTATTTTCCATCCTTTTACTACACTTGTCAATGGTTTTCACCTGTCTTGCACCCTCTTAGGTTTGTGTGACTGAGACTACTGTGTTAGATACAGGAATGACACATTAAAATTGTTATGCCTGTGAGTTGGTAGTGATAAGCTGCTTGAATATTAGTGTTCCAAGATGAGGAAAAATGACTTCAGTAACATACTGATTCTACTGTATAATACAGAAAGGCTGTGGCTTTATAATATATTGGTAAAAGTATGAGAATTACAGTAGCTTGAATTTAAAGTTGGTCTTCACCACTACTAGCTGTGTGACCTTGTGTAAATTGCTTAACCTTCTTGTCAACCCTCTTCATTGATGGATAGTTTGGAGAATAAATGAGAGTGTGTCACAGAGTGTTTAGTACATGAATATTATTTTACTTTTGTGCATCTAGTAAATACTGCTCCCTCCCCAGTTAAGATCTAAAGATTATTTTTCAGATCTGTTTCTTTTAAAAGTTACTTAAAAATTGAAAAAATGTTCACTTTAGTATGAACTAAAAATAGTAATTGAAATTTAAACTATGGATTTATGGAGTCTGAATGGTTTTTAAAACTTTAAGAATTGTTTGGAGTAATTTTTCAGAATGAAACCAGATGAAAAGAGCTAACACGGTTTTGTTGTTTTTGTTACTATTTTTGTAAACTTAGAGTTAAGAAAACCTCCACATTAGTAAAGCTTTTGCCCTCAGTGTTGCTTTTTGAGAGATGGCTTATATATTTAGGAATGAAATCTTATTCTTAAATTCTTGCTTTTATTAATTGATTGAATACAGTTCCATAAGCACTTTGTAAAGTGCAGTTCTATCTTTTATGGACATAATACTCAATCTTTTCAGAGTTTAAATATTGAAAGGCTCAATCCAGGACATTGGGGGGTTGGGATACAGAGAAAAGATCCATTTACAAATGGACTGGGGAGTCAGTATATTTTTCCAGTTTAGAGGGAAAAGATGGAGGAAGGTTTACTTAAAGATCTATAAAAGGATATTTCAGTGATAATCAAAAAATATTTCAGTACTTCATGTGTGATGCGCTGAGAAATAACTGTAGTGAACAAAACAAGCAAGTACTTCGCTGTTCATGGAGCTTGCAGTCTACTAAGTAATGAGAACCCAATGCCATGTGTGGAGACACCTCTTTATCTAGCAACCTGCGTAAGTTACTATGATCAAATTGAATTTATATCATACTTTGAATAAGATTTATAAACTTTGTAGAAAGTCTGCAGCTACCAAAAAAATAGAACTGTTTTTCTTGTTTTCCTATTTTTAAGCCTTTGTCAATTAAACATTTCCCTCACTTGATTTCCAGAACTATTGGAGTACGAATTTTAATATATATGTTAATAAGATATATATATCCTGTTATATGTACACATTTATATATGTACACTTTTATATATATACAAACATATATATAAATATATACACACATTTTCTATCATGGTATAAAAAAGCATTGTAGAATCGTGTTTGTGTAGATTATGATAGAGCCATAAGAGTATTAAAATCCTTAGATTACAACCATATTCTGTTGTTTTTCTTCCTATAGTTATTTGTCATTGGTGAATTTCTTTACTGATGCTTTAAATTTTGGTATTTTATTATTTTTGATTCAAGTTCCATTTTATTTTTTATATTACTTTCCTTAGAGACATAGTCACATTGTTGGTCAGACTGGTATCAAAGTGCTGGCCTTCAGTGATCCTTCTGCCTCAGCCTCCTGAATACTGGGACGACAGACTTGCCCCACTGCACCCCACTTTGTGTTCGCTGTTTTTTAACTTTCCCTTGGGTGGGGAAACTTATATCTGCATACTGATAATTTCTAAAATTGTGTCTGTAGCCCAAACTTTCCCCTGAGCCCATGTTCTATAAGTGTACTAGCTGGGTATGTTGCCTTCGATATCCGTAGACCTCTTACAATTCAAAATTTTATGTTTGGGAAAATAAGCAGTCTGTACTTTTATAGTGGCTAGCATACTGCATTGCGCATGTGCATTTTCTTCTTCTGCCACTAATGGTTCTGTTAGCGGGTATGGATAATAGGTTCTTGTCCTCTTTACATGTAGGAAAAATATTTCACAATACTAGTACAGCAGTATAGGTAAATACAAATTTATATAGTAAAAGTTTACCGAGAAAGTTCAGTAATCAAGTGCTTAAATCAGATTATAAATACAGTGGTATTTCAGTTCACAAACTTAATTCTTTCTATGATTCTGCATCGTTGAAAGAATTAAATTTTTGAGCTGAGGTACCACTGTATATGAATAAAGAGATGAATAAATTAGACTATATTAAAATTAGGGGCTTTTTCATGAAAAGCAGTTCCCCACATAAAGGAGATTGTATTCCTTGGAGGAAATAACTTATTCCAGGGCTGGCATAGGGAAGGGCAATATATGCTTGAAACATCTTGTTCTGTAAGTTAAGAAAGTGTTCAGAATGATACGGGTATGTCAGAAGGACACGAGAACCAGCTTGAAGGGGAGAGACTACCACTGGCTAAATGTGGGGCGGTTTAAACATCAAATTAAATAATGATAAATGATTATAACTTACTGACATAAAATCCATGAATCCAGACTAAAATGTACAAACATAGCAATATAGGAGAAAGGAAACCTTTCCTTACAGAAGGCCTGGTAAATAATGTTGAAAGAATGGTGGAATTAAATCATTACTGTATGGCATATTATATATCAGTTGCATATTATTTCATAACAAATACCTGAAAGTATAGTGTCCTTAAATAAACACATCAAATATTTCCCAGTGTGTATGGATTTAGCTCTGCTTCATAGTCTTTCAGAAAGTTGAAATTGAGGTGTCCCAGGGTCTGTGGTCTCTAAAGGTTTGATTGAGGCAAGGATCACATTTACATATGTTTACTGATTATAGATAGCATTTAGTTTCTGATGGACTGTTGACTAGAGCCTTAAGAATTTTGTCCACCACATATCCATTTGTTTTAGGATTGCTTGGTATGTCACTTAAAATTTTAGCCCTATTATACCAGTTGCATGTATGGTACTATTTCACTGTAGTTTAATGTGCATTTCTGTAATATGTAGTGATAATACTGTTTCATGTGCTTTGCTGTTACTGTATTTTTTTTGTTATGAAATATCTATTCAAGTCCTGTCTTTTTGTTGTTTTTGCATATTGATATCCACCCTTTCTGGAATTACTTTTTTTTTTTTTTTAATTTGTAAGAGAAAATAATAAAACAGTTTCAAAAAAGGCTAGTATGAGAGTAACAATAATTAATAGATTGTATATTGTTATAAGTCATACTAGTTGTTCAGAGTACAAGATATAGGCATGAAATATTGTCCAGACAGTATTAGCACAAACTTTTCTTTTTAATGAACTCGGAGATGCTAACTGTATAACTATTTTAACTGTCTTGTGTGTATGTGTATATATATATTTGTGTATATATATATATATATATATATACACATACATTTTTTTTTTTTTTCCCCTTTCCTTCCTTTCCTCTTTCTCCCATCAAAGTTTTTCTTTTCTTTTGGACGGTCTTTTTCCCTATTTCCAATAACGATTGCACATTTTGGATCTTATTTACTCATTCAGTTTCTCACACTAGTGAGACAGTACAGTGCTTACACATGTGGGTCTGCTTTTTTTCACTTACAAGTATGGTCTCGCTTTCCATCGATTCACCTATAAAAGTCTCATGTTTATCCTTTATGACTGAGTAGTATGAAATTACTTGTTGCAGAGATATTTTTCCTTATTGAATTACCTGGAAACCTATGTTGAAAATCCTACTTACTTTACTTTTTCTCTTCCATTAATCTTTGTTCAGTTTTTGTTTTTGTTTCTGTTTTGAGACAGGGTCTCACTATGCAGTTCAGGCTGGCCTTAAACTCAAGGTGTAGCTGAGACTGACCTAACTTGTGGCAAACTTCCTACCTTCAGAGTGCTGGTATTACAGGTGTGCACTGATGTGCATGGCTGTTTGTTCTTACAACAGTAACACTCTTAATAACTCTCACTTTATAATAACTAAATCAGGTTGTATGAGTTCTTAGGTCTTTTGCATTTCCACATAAATTTTACACTTAGTTTATTGATTTGTGTAAAATACTGTGATGGGACTTCGGAATTATGTTCTCTTTAGATAAATTTGTGAAGAATTGCCATCTTAAAACATGAATCTTGTGACTCTGAACATAATGTCTTTTTTTAAGATCATGTTTAATTTATCTGATGGTTTAATAGTCTTTGTTCTGTACTCTGCAACATTTTACTATCTCTAAATGTAGTTTTGATTTTTTAAGTAGAAATGTTTTCTTAGTTTTATTTTTTAGTTGTTTCCAGAATATAGAAATACATTTGAGTTTTGTATATTAACCTTTTATCATGTCACCTTAATTCATTTATTACTTCCGATGGCTTTTGTAGTTTTGCTTAGAATTTATGTATATACATAGTTATGTTATCTGCAAGTAAAGGTAGTTTATTCTTTTTTCTAAACTACATGTCTTGTTCCTTGTAGTGTACTGGTGGGGCATCTTTATCTTTTTTTGATAAACAGAAAGGAATACCCTTTACAGATTGAAGAATATTTTAGTGTGCTGAATAGTTTTATCATAAATTGGCTTTAAAATTTGTCAGATGCTTTATTGTATCTGTTGAGTTGACTGTATGGTGTTTGTTTTTGTTTTTCATTTTTAGCCTGTTAATGTTGTGGACCACATTGATTTTTAATATTAAGCCAACTTTGCGTTGCTGGAATAATCATTAATTGGTTAAGATATTTAATATATTTTTTTTCCTTAGATTTAGCTTGCTAAACTTAAGGGCTTTTGCATTGATGGTCGTGAAGAGATAATTTCCTTTTTTTATAATACTGTCTGATTTTGGTATAGGGGCCGTGCTGGCCTAATAAAATGAGCTCAGAATTATCTTCCCTATCTGTTCTAGTTTCTGAAGGAATTTGTGACATTGGCATGTTTTTGGACTTAATCTTTCTGGTGAATTGACACATTTAACATCATAGAAGAACCTTTGTTCCTAGTAAAATTCCTTGTTTTGAACTTCACATTGTTCAATTATATGAGCCATTGTATCTTTCTTTTTATTAGTGTTTGTAAGTTATATCTTTATCTGTTTAGGTTTTACCTGTTTGTAACCTATCTTTAAAATGAGTTTTGTAGTTTATACATCTAGTTGCATCTTAATTAGCATTATTAGACCAGTTACACTTAAGTAGTACAGTTCTTAAAATGTTTGCAGTTAAATTTATCATCTTGCCTTTTGTTTTCTACTTCCTACTTGAGTTTTATTTTTATCTATTTGTCTGCTTTCTTTTATGAGGAATCTTCTGGCCAGGTGTGGCGGCACACACCTGTAATCCCAGCAATAAGGAGGCCAAGGCAGGAGGTTCTCCATGAGTTTGAGTTCAGCTTGAACTATGTAATGAGAGCCTGTCTCAAACACACACACAGTTAATCTTCTTCATGATTATATTAGATTTGTCCTGAGAACCAATTTTATTTTATATTGTTTTCTGACATGGTTATGGTGGTTCAAAGTCTGACTTATTATTGTCTGTAAACTAGACATTCAGGAATCTGGTAGTATAGTTTGAAGGCTTGCCTAGAGCAGAAGAGTTGATAGTGTAAATTCCAGGCTGAGTCTGAAAGCTTGAGAACCAAGGGCACAGAAGGTAGGAAACCAAATTTCTTCTGCCTTTTTGTTCTGGTTTAGTGTTCCACAGATTGATACTTGGTGATGCTTTTCTCAGTTCATCAGTTCAGATCCTAATAGCATCCAGAAACACTCTTCTAACAGACAGTCAGAAACAATGTTAAACTGGATATCTGGGCTCATCCCTTGGCTCATTCAAGTTGACAGATAAAAATTTGCCATACCTTTTCCTTTAGGACCTTCCTTGATTTTTTTTTTTTTTTATTTTTTTAAGGAAAGTAGTTATTAGATTTATAGTTTACATCTTCAACATACCATGCTGTACCTTCACATAATATTTCCCTTATTGTATGAGATCCTAATAGTACTTATTTTTCTCTCTTTTTGCTGCTGCTCTGAGTTTAATTCTATACTGTATATATCCCACAATACAATATTTTGATTAATTTAGTCTATATTTTTAAAGACATTTAATAATGAGAAAAATGCCTTTTTGTATTTACCTACGTATTTACCATTTCTGTTCCTCATTTCCTGGTCTAGAACCAATTCTTCATCTAGTATCACCTTTATTTTTGATCTTCCATTACTTTTTTCATTGCTGAGACAAAACACCCATCACCCAAAATTAAAGAAGAAAAGGTTTGTTTAGCTCACAGTTGGTGGAGATTTCACTCCATAATAGGCTGGCTGCAAGACAGGGTAGTGTGGCAGGCAGGCATTGCAGAGGAAAAACAGTTCATGGTGGGCAGAAGATGGCACAGCAGGCAAGTGACCTACAAGTAACTGGTAGCAAGCCTCTTTTCTGTCCCTTATATTGTATCCAGGCTACCTGCCCTTAGGGCAGATAGCACTCATACCATTCTCCTTGCACCCTTAATCCTAGCGTTACACCATGAACCAATTACACACACTCTAGATTCAACCACCTCTGAAAAAGCCCTACCTATTACTGCATGAGGCCTTGTGGGGACGTTTAAACACAAGCTGTGACAGTTTTTGAGACAAGTTCTTGCTTTGTAGTTCAGGCTGGTCTCAAACTCACTATGTGGCCTAGGCCGGCTTCGAACTCATAGTGATCTTCCTGCTTCACCCTCCCAAGTTCTGGGAATTGCAAGGGTTGCCACCACACCTGGCATACTTTTATCTTTTTTTAAGTGAACATATGTTGGAACCTAAATCTTGCAGTTTTGGTTGTCTGGAAAACACTTTATACTTTAATATTTGGGTGGTATTTTTCTTGGGTATAAAATTCTAACCCCATGGCTTTTATTTTATGTATTTTTCTCTCTTTCAGTTCTTTAAACAGATTTTATTGTTTTCTACCCTTATTTCTGAAAAAAACATACATAGTAATCATTTTGTCATATGTATATGGTATTTTTTCTTCTCTGATTATATTTAGAATTTCTAATATTGCAGGCAATTAGTAATATGATTATTTTTTTGGTGTGGAATTTTTTCTTTTTCTGCTTGGGGTTCATTGAGCTGGGGTTGTGAGTTTAATGTCTTTACAAATTTGGAAGGATTTTGATTGTTTCTTTAAACACCATTTTTTATGTGGATGTGTACATGTATTTAAAAATTTTTATAAGTAAAATTTGGGCTGGGGATATAGCTCAGCAGCTCAGGTGCCTGACTAGCAAGCAAAAGGTCACAAGTTCGATTCCCAGTACCAGAAAAAAGTAAAAATAAAAAAATAAACAGGGTTTATGAGTGAAATTTATGTAACAAAATGAGCCATTTTAAAGGGAGCACTTCTGTGGCATTTAGTACATTTATAATGCTTAGTAAATATGTACTACCTCTTTGTGATCCCAAAATATTTGCATCACTCCAGAAGTAAACCCTGTAGCCATTTAATTCTCCATTCCCCTTTACTAAAGTTCCTGGCAACCACCTATTTGCATTTTGTCTCTGTGGATTTACCTTATTTCGGTGGTTCATGTAAGTAAAACAATATGACTTGTGGCTTTTTGTGTCTGACTTTTTTTATTTAGTATAGTATTTTTGAGTTTTACCCAGATTATAGCATCTTGTCATGTTTTTTCTTGGTATCATAATTGTGAATTTTATGCTGATGGGCTGGATTTTATTTCATTTCTTTAATGAGTGTTAGTTTTGGAACACACTAAAATTACTTGGAGTTATGGTATCTTGAAGTATGTCCAGCGTTGTCCACGATGTAGAAATTGTTCAGTGTGCTATTAATATGAGATTTAGGAATTTCCTCTCACATATGTGTAAAGACTGGAGGGGAACTCTTAGCAGATCTCCAAAGGTTTCTGTGTGTTTACTTCCTTTCTCGAAGGTGTGCTTCCCAACAGATCTAACATCCTTGGTCTGGTGAACCCCATGTGTCTCTTTTGGCAATATTATACACCTGTGCTACAACTTGGAAACTACTTCAGGCCAATGGGACAAACATAGGGCTCACCTCTTTCTGTTTTCTTGTATCAGTGATCTCAGATTATGTCTGAAAATATTACTTACTACAGATTTACAAATTTACTAGTTTTTTTTAATCTATTAGTCAAGCAGATCACTTAGCATTATTCCCTTATGGATAGATATTAGTGAATTTTTCATTAGTATAAGGAAAGTCCATATTGAACTTTGAGCAGATGGATTTAAGAACTTCATCACCAAATGGTCTTGCTAATAACTTGGTCTTATGATACAGTGTTTGAAATCTGCAGTCTTTCTTATTGAATAACATTTTAAATCACGTGCATTAATTTTAGGAAATTTTTCATATTTAGATACAGTTTTATGATTTTGTTTATTCTTAATAGTAAATGCTCATACCTTACTAAATATAAGTTTCTCATAGTAGCTGTCATTATTTCAGTATTTCTCAATCCTGGACTAGAGCTATCAGGTAGAAATTTACTCCAGAACTGATGATTTTTCCAACTAAATCTGATACAGTTTGCAAAGTGATGGTGTATTTTTTGTTTAAATATAGTTGTACTTTATATTCAGGTATGTGAACTGTAGCCCAGAGCCCAAACCTAAATGAAACATTTGCCAATAAAATTTTGTACTTTTTGTTGAAGCTTAAGAAACTAGGGTGAAGGGAAGCTCTAAAACCTCTGCTTTTTCTAATGAACTAAGTGGGATGAAAACAATATGAGGTAGAATTATATTTGGCTGTATTGGTAAAAATCATCTTTATACTGCTGTGTTTTGTTTTTATTTTTAAAAACTTGTGATGGAAAACAAACCTTGACTGCCTTACCATATAAATTCAGAAAGTGCAGAATATGTAGAAATTGAGGGCAGTAGGGTGGAGATGCTGCTGCTGCTTGGAAGTTTTCTGAAAGGGATTTACAGAGCTTCTGAAGATGGTTTTTTATTCTGAAGGTGTGGGGGAGCTATTGCGTATTAACAGGGATGTGATACACTGTAGTCAGTTTTGTATAGATTGAGCTTGCAGTAACCTTTTGGATATATGGATTCCAAGTTTAGGAGAGATAAATAGTTAAATGTTGATGATAAAGTAGTGAGGAGCCCTGACTTGGCAGGTCATTTGGTTTTGTGTCATTGGATCTTGTGGATGCTGACTAGTGGGAGTAATACAAACAGAAGAGATGGACCGTATCATTTATAAAGAATTGATCCCATTATAAAGGTCAGTGTGCAGGCCAGGACAAGGGTCTTATTTCAAAATCCTGCCTGAAACTATTACATAACTGTTTCCCACTTATAAGACAGAATACTCATTGAAAACAAATTTAAAAATACATAAAATAAAAACACAGCAGGAGTACAAAGCTTAGTAAATAAAGTTCACTATACTCTTGAGAACCTTGTACAAATAGATTTTCAGGAGGAATACAATAAGGAAAAGGAATATTTTAAAATGCAGGAATGCGAGAGTATGGCAAGCAGTAAAGAATAGGAATCATGGAAAGTATTAAAATCAGTTAAGGAACATAAAATAAACAGAAATCCATCTCTACTCATGAATAATGTAAAGATATATTGTTTGCTATTTCTTTTTATCTTTACTTCAAAATATTTGATATTTAAAGTGACCTAAAATTAACCAGTTATGGAGAATTTTCAAGGAAAAGACTAGTTACTAGCAATATATGAAGAACTGAAAACACCAGTTTCCTAATAAACTTCGCTTAGATCTTATAGTTACATAGGATTAAAGAAATTTTAGGAGTTCAAAAGCCTGCCAATGACAGTAAATTGTCCCCTGCCATTCAGATTGCTTTCCCAGGGTTCTTAGGGTGTATATAAATGTAATCAAGTATTCCATCATTAATTCTTTTACACACTTATTGCCAGTTGTTAGGTAGGGTCAAGACTAGATAAATTGAATATGAAATGCTTGGTACTCAATTTATCACAGAACTTTAATGCTGAATTTTTAAAGAACCTTTATGATTTTACCTTTGTGAATCTGGAATTTTCATTATTCTGTATTTAGTGCTTCTTATGGTTCCACTTATAATCAAATGGTGTGATCTTCCACCAGATAGTTGGCGAACCTGTGTCCAGCCCTCAAAAGCTATAAATGTATCCATTGATGCATATCTACAGTTTCTGTAGTCCGCTTTAAGGGAAAAAAAAGCACCTTGTAACAATTGGTTTAATATTTTTTAAAAATTTCATTGAGTTAAGATAAATTATGAAATAAGAACTTTGCATGAAAAGAAATATTTGAAATGGCTTTCAAGTGGGTGGCTATCTTATGTCAGACTTACCTTGTGGTTAATACTTTTCTTGTGTTAGTTGCACAGCATGTAGAAAATTCTATTTTAACACAGGTATAAATAGTAATAGCCTTCTGGTTTTTCTTTTTCCAGCTCATTTTGTAATCTCAGGAAATGCTGAGATAACAAAAGAGGTTTTCTTCTGAGCTCTTCTCCAAAATGAGTTCACCTAGCAAGACAAGTTGGAGCACTGACAGTCTCGAGTGTGTGAAAATTTGGTACATAGTATGTTTAGGATATGAAAAAAGTTGAAATATATTTTAATCAAATCCTTGCATAAGTCCTAAGTGGCAGAACCACACCTCAAACCAGTTTGAGTCAAGGGTTTCTTCTACCATATTATAAAACTTGTTTTCATACTGATTTTAAAAAAGTAAATCTAATTTATAAATCTAGACATGGTAGTTTATGGCTTATTTTCTTACATTTTGTAACTTAAAGTATTTGTTTAGTATTTTAAAGCAGTTTATACCACTCTTATGACCAATTGTTTCCTTTCTTCCCCCAGGGAAATGAGGCAAGTTACCCTTTGGAAATGTGCTCACACTGTAAGTTGAATATTCTTGTTATTAAGAATTTCTTATAAATCTATTTTTACATATGCATGTGTATATGTATAAATGTGAGTATACAAAACACAGCTCTGTAATACATATTTATTTATCTGTTAAGTTAGTCTCTCCTTTTTTTGCATGGTACAGAGACTCAAACCTAGTTAATGGGATTTGGGGGTGCTGGAGTTTCCTTCTGGAGGTGGTTTCCAGATTCTTTGTGTCCAAAGCAAAGTACTTGGTCAGGACAAGTGCAAATGGTAGCAAAGTTTTATGAAAGGTAGGAAGAGAAACAGGCTCTGCAGAGCGAGTTTGGTCCAAGGCAAAGAAGTATGCTCTACAGTATGAGAGTGGGCCACCATGGAAGTGAGAACACAGTGGCAAAAACTGTGTGTCCTTTTTGTGTCACTCACTCCTCAGGCTGATGTAAGGTCTGGGCCATCCTGTGGGAAACCTACTCAAGTTTTTGCGAGAAGTCCATCTGCAGGACTGTTCTGCACATGTGTCCTTGGATGTTGTAATTAACAGGTCATATCTGTTTCCCCAGCCAGTTTTGCCATGCCCTAATTTCCTATCTCACTACCACTGAACTACTATATCTCTAACACGCCTCATTTCCTTTAGTTTTGAGACAGAGTCTAGCTAAGTTGCCTAGGTGGGACTAAAACTTGGATCATCCTGCCTCAGCCTCCATCAGTGCTTGGAATACTGGAATCCACCATCATGCCTAGTGCAAAAGGAGCTCTTTTTAAAGTGGGTAATAAATTTGACATATAGTCTGTAAGTTAGCAAGTGAGGAAATTTTTTTGTAAACTTTATTATTAATATCTCTATTGTTCTGCAGTTACAAATAAACCCCCAAATCTCAGTGGTTTAAGCTAACAAAAATTTTGCAGGTTAAAGAATTTCCAAAGTGGATTTGTAAGAGCTTTTTTCTGTTTGATACTCAATGATCTAGGCTCCATTGTTTTGCAATGCCAACAAGTCTGTGCCTGATTCCCAAGATCAACAGGGAAATTTAAGACCTGCAGGCCATGTTTTTATCTTTCGGAGCTCAGAAGTGATCCACATTTTTTATGTTCATGGTGTATGGGCCAAAACTGGTCACACAGATCCACCAAACTGCTGCGGGGCTGGAAAGTTAAGTTTTTTGTATTTTTAGGGAGGAGAAACAAATAAGGCACACTGTTTTCATTAGATTTTTTAAAAAAATTCTATGGGTGGGTTTTGGTGTGGTATTCTATATTTATCTGATTTAAAAACACATCTGAAGAACAAATATGTCTAAAATGTTGTATTTTTTAGTTTGAAAAAGGTCATTTTCATGTATGGATGTGATGGAAGCTTAATATTTGAAAGACTAGATAGCAATTTAGAATTAATTAACTTATATTAATATTGTAGTAAGAGTTAAAAAACAAACATAATGACTAATGGTCTGGTGACCCACAGCATCTGATGATAACCCATCAGTTGCTTTATTAAAGGTGTGTTCATTTTGTCATTCTTCTTTCAAAAATATTTTAATATGTATGCTAATTTGTTTCATTTATACTACTAGTTTCTCTTAGTTCATGTTAAAGTTTTGTACTAATACCTGCTTTTCTTTGTAAGAGAGTCTTTTTTGTTGATGTCTTGTATTCTGAGTAATTTCTTTAAAGATAATACACACTGTATTAATTATTCTTTGCTTACTATTTTGTTGTAAAATTTTATTTTATTGTTTTTGTGAAAAAGAAGTAAAACTGTAATTCCACAGTTTTCCATTCCAAGCTGTTTTAGTTTATTTTATTACTATTAGTTCTTGGGGTTAGGAGTTAAGCCTTTAAAAAAATTCATAGTTTGGTTTGTAGAAGAGCAAAATTTTTTCCTTATAATGTATTTTACTTACAGTATTTAGAAATAAAAGACTTAGTAAGACTCTTAAGTCTTTGATCATATTGTTTTTTTGTTTGATTTTTCCCAGTAATAGAGATTGACTTTGGGACCTATGCACTGAGCTAATTTCTGTCCCTTTGATTGATTGATTGATTGATTGATTGATTAACAGACACAGTCCTGTTGAGTCACTAAGTTGCTCAGGCTAGACTCAAATTTACAGTCCTGCCTCAGCCTCCTAGAGTGCTGGGTTATAGATGTGTGCCACAGCACCTGGCTAGTCATACTGGTCTGTTAGGTTCTATTAATTCAGTTCTCTCTTACCCACTGTTTACCTACCTGCTTTTCTCCTATGTTTGCAAGTTCCAGTTTCTTTTTGTTTTTTTTTTTTTGGTTTTTCTCCGGTACCGGGAACCGAACTCACGACCTTGCGCTTGCCAGGCAGGCGCTTTTGCCGTTGAGCTAAACCCCCAGCCCCCCAGTTTCTTTATATCTTCTGATTAGTCACTTTAGTTCCCTCCTATATTGTCTGATTGTAGTGGGTCTGTTGGTATATTACAGAGGGTAGTCAGCATCATTCAGACTCCTTCCGGTATTTACAAACTTTCGAATTGACAAGTACATATCTTAGATTCCATTGCAACCATAGTTCTTAATGTTACCTTATTTCTGCCACAAACTCATGTGAGATTTGGAAAGTAGAAGTGAGTTGGAGTTTGCTGTTTTCTATTTTTATTGTTTCTATTAGGATGATTCTGGTTATGATTTAGATTTTTGTGTCTGTGCAACGTTACGGAGCCAAAACCTTTCAAATTTACCATGCAGTATGGTAAATATTGGCTTGAGGACAGGCAGTATGTACTCTTTTGATAGCATATAGCATATAGTGTGGTTTTGTAAATTGTTCCTAAAAGTTTAAGGCTTTCTAAAGTCTCTATAATGGTTTCTAACACTAAAAATTGTTTTGATGAGTTAAAATTTAATTTTTTGTCCCTAGTAAACCTTGTATAATACAATAATTTCAGGGTAGTATATTGGCTGTACATTCTTAAGATAATGGACATTTGGATTGACTATCCTGGTCTGATTTGGAGCTAGTAAGAGTTTAATTATGAAAAAAACAGAACATTAGTAGTGTACAGCACAGTGATAAAATGTTAGTGTATTTTTCTTGTGATTGCATAAAGTGCTTATTGAAGACAAAACACTGGTAGAACAAGTGATATTGAAGAATATTTTCTGGGGAGGATGAGGAAGAAAAGGAAAGTGAATGGTTGGTTACTTCTGACTATACTGGAGAGCCTACAGGAAGAAAGTAAAGGCTTAGTAACTATGGTTTTAAAGACTAGTCAGGTGAGTAAAGGAGCTGATAGTATTCTCTTTAAAAAAAAAAAATCGGATCTCTTGTGTGAAAGAGCAGTGATTGTGAAGGGGGAGACCCTTACAGTTGGAGTAGAGTCCGTTGCTAGGTTAAGATAGAAGGTTCTGAAATTCCCAGAACATTCTGTGCTCAGCAGAAACAGCCCTGTCAGCCTAAATAAGGCTGGTCCCAACTTCTTGGAGATCTCACTAACTTGTGATGAACTGTCAGTTCCCTTTCCATTTGCTGTGAAACCACTTTCCCCATTGCTCTTACTTTCAGCAGTCTCCTTTCTTTTCCCAAACATGTGTCCGTTTCTTTTGTTCCCATCACCGCCCTTGCCTGCGTGTGAGTTTGGTGGGGTGCTTGTCTATCAGCTCTTCACTGGCTGGCCACCTTCAGTCTCTTCATTTCCGTGTAAGGGATGCCTTCTGTCATCCCCAGCTCTCCTTAGATTTTATCCGTAGTAGTATCTTGTGTATTTTCTTTGTAGCAGTAATCATAAACTGAAATTGCGTATTAATCAATTTTACTTTCCATTTTGTAGTTTCTATAGTTTTTAATTTATTTATTTTTGTGGTTCTGGGAATTGAATGCTCCAGGGCCTTGATGCTAGGCAAGTGCTCTGCCATGGATGAGAACCCCCTGATCCCTCTATAATTTTTATGATTTTTTTAAACTTAAAAAATGCTTATATAGATGATTGGTTCCCCATAATCTTGCCATGCAAACTATTGTTTACACTTCACTATTTCCTCTTGAACTTTGTGACTTTGTTATTAAATTAGGACCATGTGTAATCATATCCTTAAATTTCTACCTTAAATGTGAAAATAAAATGTTACTTCCAGAATACTGCTTGAATTGACAAAACAAGGCCAAGTTATGACTTTGTAGACCAGGGTTGGTAAACTGCCTGCTGGTGCATTTTATTAATAACAAAGCACCCAAAATTGTGCAGTCACTGATTGTTCTGTTTGAACTTATGATACAGTTATTCCTCCAGGTGCTGGTTGCAAGAAAGAGGTGTGGGAGTCTGCAGTTAGCTGGATTTAGGCTACAGTATAGATGGGTTTGGTTGTTTTGAATACAGCTCTTATTGGAATGAGGACCTAGCAAGTTTTTATTTCTCAAAGAACAGATGATTTTTCTTGTTCTCCTGTTAAGTCTGGGACTGAAGGTCGTTTACCTTGGTTGCAAGTAAAAATATACCAGGGCGAAAGATGGATGAATGTTCTCTTCTGTATATCCAGGATGGCAAAGGGCAGTTTTTTGTTTCTGGTTTAGTTTTATAATATGTGGGAAACAGATTATCTGTTTCACTTGTATCCTTAGAGCTTTTTATTCTTTCCTTTCCTTCATTTTCCTTTTCTTTCTCTCTTTTCTCCCTTCTCTCTTCTCCCTTCTCCCTTCCCCTTCCCCTTTCCCTTTCCTTTTTTGGTAGTGAGGAATTGAACCCAAGGCTTTTTTTGCACTGAGCTGCATCCCCAGCCCCTTTTTAAACTTGAGACAGGGTCTTGTTATATCATTAAGTTGCTCAGGCTGGGACTGACCTTGGCTCCACCTGCCTCAGCCTCCCAGAGTGCTGGGATCGCAGGCATCTACCACTGTGACCTGCAGAGAACTTTAAAATTCTTACTCCTTTGTCCGTGTTTTCATTAAACTGCTGAACCTTGTCACTAAAGATCTATCCTTGTTGGTGATTCTTCTGCCTAAAGTCTTCTGTTGTTTACTCTTTTCTCTGTTCCTTATTTGGTTT